GAGTGTGCGACGTAATCCGCGCAGCAGGATACCGAGCAGGTTTAGAATGTCCATCGGCCTTGGATACTTGAAGCGTCCAATCTGATGTTCTACTAATTTCATAGCTTCCTTGTCAAGGCAATGCCCCTCGAGGACTGATGTAGCAAAATCTGGTTCGGACGGGATATTGCCGTGACGAAAACAGTCGTGTATAGTGTGAGTGCGGACATCGTTAGACCATGCCGAGACTGACATTAGGGTAGAATGAAGGATGTTGGTCTTTAACGGCTAAACTACACCGTTGTCAAGACCCTAAAGGAGCTTACAGTTGAAGATCCGCCGGTCGTATGCTTTAATGCTTCGAGCAATTACCTGATCACAAGGATGAAGTTTAAGTGTAGTGTTGCTCGGAAGGTAGCGGATTGTCGTGTCGCGAAGTGTGATCCGCTGGGGCAGATCAGCAAGCGGGACGTGTGCACTGCAATTAACCAGTATCATTAACACCTTGCGGTTTGCCATCTTCAGATCGAAATCCCTTAGCCACTTTGAAAGGATGTGTGTCATCTAGGACTTATTTTTGCTGCGATACTGACAGCCAAGGCTCTCACGATTGACATGGCGGAAGAAGCAAGAAGTGGCGTACTTGCCATTGATCCACAGGGGGATTTTTTGGACCCATCACCGTTGCAGCAAACAGCCAATGTTATCATTTCCTTGTTTTGCTTCCTTACATCCAGCTGCCGCGTTAATTACGAAATGTCAGACTGAAAAAAGGGATGCACTATTCAATACAAAACAATAATATTTGATGTCTTTTGCAGAGAAAGTACCTGCATCCGATGGATCAAGCCAGTCTCATCCATGTTGTAGATATCCTTCCAATAGTACTGTTTAAGGACATCACGTAGTGAAGAAGTTGCATCATTTACATCAACCATGTTCACCTATTTGCTCTCTCCACAGAGGCGATATGATCGTATTCCGTTGCGAGCTTTCAAAAATACCAGCCCCAATTTGAAAACTGAAATGGCTCATATCCTGAATAAGTTCGACCCGAAATCCGCTCGTCATGTTCACAGACAGGGTACAGCTGAGATTGATGCGATCCTGGTGGGCATTAAATTAAGCAACCAGAGCTGATTACATCAGCGGATACTTGGCTAAGCGCTGACGTTTAAAATCACGTTGTTTTTGTGGTAGAGTGGAGTTCGCTCATTTTCTGAGGCGATCCCGACTCTCCACTGGCGCCCAGAAAACCGACTAACGGAGTGGGTACTCCGATTCTGCTTGCACCTGTTTCCAACTCACCTTGTGTACCCGTCAGTAGGGCGGGATGCACGCTTCTAGGTAATCTTGACTCGATGCTGAACTTGACCGTTTTAGAGATTGGTGTCGATAGAATAAAAAATCCTCACCCAATCGCGTGTTCTTGGTTGTCACTCCCCTACAGTCGCCGCGATCAGCCTTGATCGCCTTGTGCCAAAAACGGGGTACTTAGTCGCTATACTTCTGAACACTTGAGCAGTCTCGCGATCTTGTACTTCAACCAGTAAGGTTGTCTGCGTCCGATCGCAGTTGAGGTGTGCTGAGAGTCCTTGCACTCCTGGCCAGAAAGCTCCAGTAGTAATCTTCCTGCCCTTGGTGTTGAAGTTTTCTGACTTCGGGAGGCCAAAATATCCAACACGGAAGAAGAACGATTCGAATGTGTATAGATACAAATTAAACTCTCGTTAATGCTAACCAACCAAAACCATAACTAAAATCACGCCTATTCCGTATTCCAGGATTGACCGCCACGTTTCTTCTCCATGCCAAATGAATTTTTATTCCTTCTTGATCACGTGACCCACGCCAGACCGGGGTCCTCTGATCGCTGTCCAATGATCGCGGTCCTTTAATCGCGGTTCCTTGATATTTCTACATTCCGGGACCGTGCGGATTAGACTGGGTTGAGCCCGCTGAGTCCTACCAACGGTAACATCCAAATAGCTGGCTATCATCCCACGAGCAATTCAGCAAATACCACCTCGTACTTGGCTGAATCGCCTAGGCTTTTTATGCTCGACTTCCATCGGCTTTACCACACTTTCCTTCAGAAAATGAAGCAGGTTGGCTTTCCTCTTCAGCGTGTTAGAGACTGTTGCCTGGCTGACTCTAAGCTGATGGTTGTCCTGGAGCCAGTTGACAAGCTGAACCTAGGTCAGTGCCGGATTCTCGGAATGATGTTTGCAGAGAGCCGCACGGACATCGTTCGTCATTGTGGTGTAGCGTGCTCCTCTCAGAGGCATTGTTGATGTGGTGCTGAGTTTTTTTTGGGAAATTGGGAGGAAGGCTTGAAGACTTAGGCTGAGCACTGGAATGTAAAATGCAAAATTTGTATTTTAAGGTCCTTAGGTCACAAACTCCTGTTGTAACTCTGAGCCTCTGGTTATTTCAGCCTGTACGTTTGTAATCGCCACATCGCGCATTACTAATCGTCTAGTCGCGCATTATCTGTTCGTCTAGTCGTTCGTATCTAATTCTGGTCGTGAGTTTCACAACACCTTATCGTATACAAAGTGGAGGACGATCCTGCCTGGTAGGACAGTGCTGGTGTACACCAAACACCAGTCCCGAAGGTAAAGCTTTCATGTCTACATTACTCACCGGTATTGAGCCATGGACCTTTGGATTGGCACTGTCAAAACCAAACCGGCTGATCTACAGAACAATTTCTAAGAATTGGTCTTACGCTCGTTCAAACAGCCCTCTAGAATAGAGAAGTTAAATAATTATTTGGAGGAGTACTACATTATGTTCTTAATTATTGATCTCTAAAATCATCAGAAAAGAGGTCCATCATTATTAGTTAAACCGGTTCTACTGTAACAACCATTTGAAGTCGGTGCAAAGTGTTCAAATTGCAAAAAATTATGGAGCTCTTAACTCAACATCCCTTATTTGCGTGACGGATCTATTGCACAGAATGTGGCTCCATATCATCGAGTGAGCTTTTAACTCCCCATCACTCATGGATGTCGTGGTCGACTGGGCAGGTTGCGACTTCATCATGAAGAAAGGTAGTTCACGCAGATGGCCACGCGACACGAAATTGCTCGCAAGCTGCCACGTGGTTTTACTCGGGAACCGACTTGCGTCCGACAGATGCTGTGGGCTTCACAACTTCAATAAATATTTAAACTTTACCTACCTGCATCAAGAAGCTGGAGCTGCTGGTGCCGAGTCTATAATTTTTCGTAGCGTGACGAGCGCAGTATTTCTTCTGCTTCTTCGTTAACACATTAAGAATGATTCGATCTACTCTGACACTTGGTAATAATACCGTGGATGTTGAACGACTAGTGGAGAGACGACGCGAGAGCGCAACACGCTCATTTCCTTAGTATCAGTGCTGCAGCAGGCCGGTGTGTAGCGGTGTGCTCTAATCTAGTCGCTAGCACAAGTCCACATAAAGAGAGTGTAGATGCTGTAACATACTCTTTAAACATGCTTATAAGTGTATCTCCGGCTGGCATGTATGCACTTTGTTAACGACGGCTGATGCTGCCTCAAGCTGGTGCTTTTTTAACATACAATACGTGCGTGATCGCTTGATGCGCGTACAATTTCAAGTTACTACTTTAGTAGGTGAGTGATTTAACTGGCATCTGCAAGTTATGGCGACGTCTTACCCGATATGGCGCAAGATGTCGGAATCGAAATTGTAATAACAGCATGTCACAGTCGCTACTTGTCATTAAAGCCACTTCGTGCACAAGCTCAACCAGCAGCGATAAATCAATTCAGGTTTTACATGCAGGTACACGTCTTAGCCCCTGATAACGCTTACAAGTAGGCGATTGATCCCGATCTGAGCTGTATTACTGTCTCGCTGGCACCGCGAGAGCACATTTACCTTAGAAATACTGCTGAAAGGTCAAGATGATTCAGCATGCAAGTCATAGCTACAGTAGTTAGTATATCGTCAAAACAGACCCAAACAGGAACCTTCAACTTGGAAGTACTCCCTACTCACTCGTTTGTCCATGATACACTCACTTCACCCGTCTGCAGTGCCAGTGATGGACAGTGCAACTTCTAGAACATGCGTGTCTTCTAGGCTTTTCTCACGCCATAAATGCAGCATCTCATACCTTCGACGGATCGATTCGGACAAAAGATCAAGAAGCATCGATGGATTCAGAGGGTAGCACTTGGATCCTAAAAGAATATAGTTATCTAGCTACGGGACAATGTGCACCTTGCCGTTGATAAATGCGACGCTTGCGCATCCACGTTGGACATCTACCATTGCTTTTCACACCCTCGCCAATGAGTAGCATGTTGAGATGTGGCCGGCACTGATACTTTCACTTGGGTATCCCATCCAATGTCTGCATAGAAAGAGGGACTCAACCACGCATGGCTGTTATGACGAATTCGATGGTCACATAGCAGCTTTACCTCGAACACGAATCATGGCAAGTACTTGTCGTGACATTTATCGACAAAGGACATTTAAATAACTAGAAAAACGGTCTGGTCGTCATTGGTCTGGCTGTCGTTAGGATGGTCTAAGCCCAGCGATAGCGCACGTGGATGTTTGGCCGTTGCCACACGACCTTGAATATGACTTGATTTTTATGAGGTCATCGATCGATGCAGTCATGGTCTCGAGGACATCATATCGGCTGAGCATTTGTGTTTGTGGATGCAAGGAGGAGCGATAGTACAATGATGAGGCACTCGAGAGTTTCCAAGTTGCACCACAACGACGCCGACTGACCCTTGCGGGGGCGTCGAAGCGAGTCATCAATGTCACAAGAGGAGCTCGTAATATAAAGAACGGATGATACAAGGGCCAGTTTGTAAACTTTTGCTGGGGGTTAAAAATGCAAGCAGCTACAACAACGATCTCAGCCTCCTCGCAGTGCTGGGCCGTTGTATTGTCTATGGATGGGCGCTCACGCATCAGCTCAAAGGTAAGATGTTTGCCGCCCTTCGTCAGCAATCTGTTGACGTGACAGACGCGCCGAGTTCGGTCAATTCGCGTGACCTCCGTTTTTGTACGCCTCTCGACGTTTCATCTCCTCGAGCTTCTTCTTTTGCTTGAGCCAGTTCTTGTGGTCGAGTTTCTTCTTTTGCTTGAGCCAGTTCTTGTGGTCGAGTTTCTTCTTTTGCTTGAGCCAGTTCTTGTGGTCGAGCTTCTTCTTTTGCTTGAGCCAGTTCTTGTGGTCGAGTTTCTTCTTTTGCTTGAGCCAGTTCTTTTTCTGTTGGTCAGCGTGTTTCTTCTTCTGAGCGTTCCACTTCTTGCGTTGTCGAAGGCGATTTTCCTTTCGCCAATCCTTGACCTCGCCAGACTTGCCCTTCTTCTTGTCCTTCCTGTGGTGACGCTTCTCCCAGTCATCGTCGTCGTCGTCGTTGTCGTAGGCGCGCAATTGACGGGCAGCGTGACGTTCCTGCTGAGCTGACAAAAGCGGTTCGGCCAAAGTCACCATCAGCGGCAGATCCTTGTCGTCGCTTACAAGAAATCGTTCGGTCTTTTCAGCGACATTGGTCTGGTGCTGGGCCTCGGTAGACGTCTGCAGGGGCGAGAGGTTGACCGCATCGGGGACAGCTTGAAGTCCGTAAGCACTTGCAGCTAGAGCTGCAGCGATCACGTGTGCAACGTAGTGGAGACGCATTCTTGGATGAAGAAAAGCGCGAGGTCTTGGTCAAATTGAAGTGCTGTTGTTGTTGGTGGCCGGCAATTGAGTTGTGAGAGAAAGTGGAGACGTCACGAGTGGCAGAAGTTCTTGCAGATACCGTGATGACAGGCACGGATTCCGACCAGGTTGGATATTATGCAATGCTTGACGAGACCCAACGTGTTGAACCGGCTTTAGATACGACACAAGGGCAAACGTTGAGACACTCCTTTATCGCAAAACATACGATATCAAAGCTCTTTGAAGTTGCAAACTACATTCGCGTCAATTGGGTTCAGAAACTTGCACCGAATCTGGGAAATTCTATGCCAGGATAGCACAATGTAAACTCTTAGCCTATCTGGCCAGACGGCACCTCGGAACGGATTGGTGGCTACGCAAATCAGTTGTGCTCTCATCCGGACGAGAGAAGTTGAAGTCTTTCATAAATGCGAAACAGCACACACCGAAAAACGGTGAGGTCCAGCTCGCCAGATATATCCACGTAAGTGTGTGCGGGGAGCATAGTCTAGTATAAAGCCATGTGAACGCATTGTTTTCGTCAGTTCCGATGTCTCGGTAAGAAAAACAAGCGTTGCGGTTTCTAATCGAGAAGAACACCATAGCTAGCAGATGGGGACGCGACAGGAAAATAAGGCAGCTGATGTTAAGTTTGTAGTTGTTGATGAAGGTAAGGTTCCTTGGGATACTTTTGAAGAAAAACATTGTTCAAGATGGGTACGTTACTCTACACTACACGGGAATACAAGTTAGGGGGCAACCAGCTGCTACTGGGAAGAGATGTCGTCGACCAAGGATATCCCATTTAAATGCGGCACTCGCCAAGCACTGGCGTCACTGTGTCAGTCAGAAACGGCGTCGACGTCGGTTCGCACCTGTTGGTAGGTGCGTGGACGTCCATTGCCCGACGTCACTGACCAGAAATCTAGCAAGACCAGCCAAAATGGACCGGTCGTCGTCTGCGGACGTCTGGACCGAACGAGAGGAGTCCATAGCAATGTTGGCGGCTCAATCGGCCATCTTGTTAAAATGCGGTAGTGGTGTGTCCAGCTCAGTACGCCGACGCTGAAAGAACACGGGACCGCGGAGACGCACAACCGTCAAATTGCTGAACCAAAGCCCGAAGCTGCGTGACCCCACTTAGAAATGTTCTGGTAATGATCGCCCGTAAAGTCGCTAAGGATAGGTAGCACCCTCCTCAAGTCGGACCCGGTGGCGAGCGCACCGTATAGCGTGCATCGTAGAAAGAGCCATTAGCCGCCAAAGCGTTTGAGGCAACATTGATGTCCTGTTCGTAGCACGCACACCATCACGCGCTTTACATCTTGTGTGTTGTAGCTGCACTGTAGCCGTAGGGCCGGTTCTGGATGCATGTCCCAGATCGTACGCAGCAAGGATGGTCAACGATTTACGGCAGAGACACTACGATAGCCCGCCGTCGCAAGCATTGGGATCGCCTTCCGGAATGCCTGAAATTGTGACTGTCAGTCATTTCGCCTATCCAGCTTCCGCAGAACAATATGGTACTGAACCCTAAAGCTCACGGCAGGAACCACGTGCGTTGGACAGGTGCTGCGCGCGTCACAGCTTCAGTGAGTCCGCATTGACTTTACTTACCAAAATCAAGAAGCAGGACATGATTGTGCCATGCTCTTGATTCGCGACAACGGCGCGCTCTAGATTCCTTCTTTTCGTTCGTTAGCAGGTCAAGAACGGTCCGATCTCCCCTTCTACTGTTAATACAGTGGCTGATTGTAGACTAGCGGTGAGGACGGCGCTAGGGCGCGACCCACTTATCTTCTGTAGCGAGCCAACGTATAGGAAGCGGTCTACTCTATTTGGTCACACATGACTGTTTAAAGAAAGTGAAGATGCCGTAATTTGGCACTCGAAACATGCTCGTGAGTGTAATTTCGGCCGGCACTGCCCTCACATTCTGCACATTGTTGACGACGGCTGACGCTGCGACAAGCTGCTTCTTCTCCCAACTTTTAAAACATACATGATCGCCTCCACGTCGGTCCAGTGTGACTCGAACGGATTGAATCTGCTCCGGGTACGCGAATTTCGTCAAGCATGGCATGCCATTTGTCATCTTTTTGTAGTACGATTAACGTGTGTTGTTGAGTACCGTGTCGGTACCTTTATAAGAAACTGCCTCATACAAGTTGGTCAGGACGGCGTCCTATCCAACATGGCGCCACATGTCGGGATTGAAATCGAAGTAGCAGCATTTTATTGCCGCTCTTCCTTAAAGACGACTCGGACGAGCTCGATCGTCAAGCGATTGCTCATTTAACTTTTTTAACAAGTGATTCTGTCTCGCAGTTCCTTGATGCCGTTATTGAGTGATTGGTTCTCTATCGATGGTTATGCTAAAATGCACTTCAAGGATACTGTTGCAAGGACAAGTTTTTCTGGCATAGGAGTCATGTCTGCAATAGAATTCACACGTATGCGTCCAGCCCGTAGCTAGTCGTACCTGCCTGTTCTACTGTACTGGTACGAGTGTGACTATGTCCATCGATCAGAATAATGCTGCACACCGTGTTGAGTCACATTCACAACGCATGAACGTCGTGCTTACAAGTGGTAGCTTCTCAACTGTTAATACCTACGATGCACTCAATTCATTCTTATACGTTGCTGGCAACGTAGATGACCTGTGGAACCAGCACCCAATGATGTCTTGGCCTGCAGCATCTCTAACATTGCCGAAAATTGAATCGACTGACTCGGGCAGCATCGATCGACGTAAGCAGCAACATAGTGTGCAATAAAGATAGTCATTCTGGACATTGTACCATGCGCACCTCACCTGTAACGGGGTAGCTCGTTACATGATATTGACACCAAATGGTGTCAATAGGGATAAGACCAGGCGGACAATCTCCTGCCAATAGTACCCGAGATTGGTAATATTGAAGGAATATTATCCCCTAGGATGATATTCACGTGCTGCTCGAAGATTGGCTAAAACTGACGATTAAACCACGATTACAACCAATCGCTACTAGAATAGCGTAATGTGTGGTGAGCAGGTTGTCGTCATACGACAATGTAGATTAATATAGTTGGATAAAGACATAAGTTGCAATAATAGCTAAACTATTTGTTACACAGCTCACTGTTTACCTTTTACTCAAACTCGTAGATAATTTAAAATGCCAGCTTAAGTTATTTGCAAGCATTAAATTTTTTTCGCAATAGATCAAATGATTGCAGATGTCATCACGATTAATTGCACATTAGATATTGTATTTGGTTTAATTGATTGTTAAATTCATTTAGCAATTATAAAAATGTACTCCGAATAGTAAGCTAATATTTATTCATAATTATCACATACTTTTACATTAAACATTATATTTAGCGACGTGATATGTTACAACATATACAAAACATTTTAAACAATGTGAACTAAATCAACAGTAAACGGTCAAACGAACTGACCAAATAAAATTATTCCTTGTGCTAAATTAGTGTAATTGAACTATTTTCCTCAGAAAAATTAAATAAATTAAATTAAAAATACATGAGTAGATTACTCTCCTCTGCACGTACGAGTGTTCGTGAAGTTTCGTGGCACCCGGACAAAGGGTTCCCCGTTACACCTAGCAGCACTTCGTAGTCCGTCCAACATGAGCATTTTGGACGTAAAAGACGACAGCTTTCACGTCACACGTGAAGGCTACTCCCACCTGAGTGACTCCGAACGGTATGTAGTTGGCCGCATGAGTGTGCTCATGGGCGAACCCGCCATCAGTGGTATGTTGGAGTCTCTAAGCAGAGACCAACAACATGCCGCTATCATCAAGTTCCTAAAAGGAGGAATTACTGTCGAAAGACGAAAGATAGTCTTGCTTTACCAACAAGGATCTCATCAGCCGATGGGCGGCCCGACGCACATGCGTCGACCCGAAACCTTGAAGATTGATATCTCAAGGTGCAAGGGAGCCGATGAAGATTCCCTTTTGAGATGGTTCGTCGAGTTAGACGATGCCATCAGGGCCCGTCACATAGAGGGTAACGAGGTGCAAGTCACCTTCCCCTGTCAAATTTGACGGGACGAGCAAAGACTTGGGCCTTGGGGCTCAAGCTTCACGACCCAAACGTGTTTGAGTCGTTGGAGACCTTGAAGTCTCGGCTCAAAGAGACGTTAAAGCCTCCACAAGCCGAGTCCAGAGCATGCTCTGCACTCTTGAGGCTAAAACAAGGTAAGCGTCATGTGCACGCTTACGCACAGCACCTGCGCTACCTTGCGAGTAGCGTTACGAAAAGCCCTGTTAATGCGCGCACGCTCATCAACGTGTTCATCCTCGGCATGGTGGATGGGCCGGTGAAGACCGACATGTTCCGAGAGGACTTCCATACGCTGGAAAATGCGATAGCGTGTGCGGAACAAGAAGACTTCAGCCTGAGACAGTCTCAGGCTAACTCTTCCAACTATCGTCCGACAAGACGACAGGAAAAAGGAGGTCCCGACCCACAGACCTCTGTTACTATGAGAGCAAGAAATCTCGCTCTATAATTCACAAGCAAACGGCAAGATACCGTAGATGTCAGAAGATTGGACACTACGCTCATGAGTGTAGTGTCCCAAGAATCGCAACACGTCAAACGCCAGGACGTAATGACCGCCGTTGGCCAAGGAAGGGTCCGAGGCGCGGGTCCGACCATGTCGATAAGCCGCGACGTACGAGTCGGACCGTCAAAAACGGACAGGGTCAGAATGGGCGGAGCACCCAGCAACGTCAAGAGAAATTTCAGGATTCTTGACGAAGATTGCTCCCAACACACAGTCGCTGTGTGTTACTGCCCCTAGTGATGAGGTGTCCATCATCACTCCGAAGATCGAAGTGACAAGCAGAATGTCACTTCGCGCCCATGTTAACTGTGGTGCGTCGAACAGTTTCACTCGACGCCAGTAGCTAGAGGATATTAGGCTCAACTATGTTGTGCGAGAGTTCCCTCCAACGAGGATGACGGTGTGTCTTGCTACAGGCGCGTCCGTAACAGGGAACAAACGTGTAGTGGGAATCCACTACACGCTAGAAGGAAAGTAGTGCGATGATGACTTCATCGTACTGGATTTGGATGACAGATTTGACGTCATCCTCGGTCTGCCATAGCTTAGAAAACACCAGCCATTAGTAAGCTGGCAGAATCGATCCATGAAGAAGCCTGCCGTTTGGTCACCAGGCGGCCATCTGATGAACGTCTTGGAGCGTCCACAAGTGTGTAAATGTACTACGAGTGATTGCGATGGCCTCACTTGTCATACGGTCGTTAGTACGATTGCAAAAGATCACAGTGTAGAAGACCACTACACTGTGGAACCAGCTTCCGGCACCTGTGTAGAGACACAGGCTTCGCCGAAGGTTCACCACTCGTAGAGATCGAGTGGACTGGAACACGGATGCACCCCAAGAAGAGTGCACCCAAGAAGAGAGATTAGTGTTGTTCAGGATGAACAGCACATTTAAGCAAGATCGACTATCAGAGAGTCGGTCGTAGAGCAAGCCCGATCGACTGAAAGAGAGTCGATCGAAGAGAACGTGACTGTGGTAGTACGCCTGCAGTCAGTACGCGTATTAGAAGAAAGTTCCAGTGTTCTTGAGAGTGATAACTCCCGAGAGAGTTATGTTGAGGGTGTATATCCCCAACCTTTTGCGGATGTATTTTCCCAGGAAATCACTGAGACAGCTAGTGTCTTGGTGAATGAAGGATAAAGTGTAGGCGCTTATACACTTGATCTGGTGACGCCCCCGATGTCATCTTCGGAAGTGGTCAAGTTGCAAACACTAGAATCTAAAAGATTCTTGCGAGATCTGCGTAGCGACAAGATCAAGAAGATCTGCGTACTCGTCACAGAGGACGAGTACGTCGCCGATATTCGGTCGGCACTAGTGTTTGCTGAGAACGAACGGGTTCTCAGTAGTTCATCTATGGACGAGAGTGTCCTCGATGAGAAGACCCGGATTGAGCGATGCACGTCTCAATCTTGGGAGTCTTTAAAGACAATTCTTTGTCTAAGGATTTGGTGAAATTTCGGGGTGTTCTCCCTGAAGACGTGCCATGCGAGCTACCCACAGACAAAGGCACTCGGTATGAGATCGAGCTAAAACCCGGTTCGAAATACTGTGTCATGAAGCAGTGGCCACTGCCTCGTGAACAGGTCACAGCGATCGACAAATTCTTTACCGATCGATTAGCGGCTGGTCATGTGAGGGAGTCAACATCCCCACACAGCTCTCCGACCTTCTGTGTGCGAAAGGCCACAGGAGGGTGGTGGATAGCGCACGCGTGCAACAAACTGAACGCTGCAACGGTACCGGCTCAAACGCCGATCCCAAGGAAGGACGTCATCATAGATGGTATGGCAAAAAGTACCATCTTTTCGTCCATGGATCTGATGGATGGATTCTATCAGATCCTCATGCGTGAACGGGACATCCCTTACACAGCAGTGATCACCCCCAGTGGTATGCTCTGGGAGTGGCTAGTAATGCCACAGGGGCTGAGTAACGCCCCCGCAACGTTTAACAGATGTGTTACGAATCTGTTGCGATCGGTGCAAGATATTGCAATAAATTGCTTCAACGATGTCTTCGTCCATAGCCGGGCTATGGATGGAAAGACGGGCGTGGAGGCTCATAGAATCCACGTCGGAAAGGTTTTTACACTTGTGAGAGAGCATAAGTTGTTCGCAAACTTCGAGAAGTGTATATTCGCAGCGAGCGAAATACCACTTCGTGGTTGCATCGTGGGTAAAAACGGTGTACGCCCTGATCCAGAAAATATCAAGGCGATTAGTGACTAGCCTGTGCCAGTCGAAGTCAAGGGACTTCGAAAATTCCTTGGCTTGGCAGCGTTTTTGCACAAATAATGGCGCAACTACGCCGAGATGACCGTACATCTCTCTCGTATGCTAAAGAAAAGCAAGAGGTGGTCATGGAGTGCTGAGTGTCAGCACTCTTTTGAAGACATCAAGAAAAGCTTGGTGCAATCGCCTGTGTTGGCGCTTGCAGACCAGGACAGACCATTCCATGTGGTTTGTGACGCCAGCGATTTTGCATTCAGCTGCGCGATAATGCAGTGCTACTCATACGGCATCGAGCGTGTCTTCACTTACCAATCGCGTCAGCTGCAAGCAACTGAGCGTAATTACCCGGTTTATTAAAATGAACCCCTTGCCATGAAATATGCACTGGCCGAGTTTCGGGTAAATCTCTTAAAGGATAGGCCCTTCATCGTTTACACCGACCATGCGTCATTACGAACGGCCGTAAACAGTCCACACCACTCGCAACGAACGGCGAGGTGGCTGTCTTTCTTCGCGGAGTACAACTTCTCCGTCGAATACAAACCAGGACGACTTAATGTCGTCGCTGACGCTCTTTCGCGTCGGCCCGATTTCGAGCCGTCGGCTCAACCCAACAGTAGGGGTGATCCCACTATCGCGACACTAACAGTGAGCGTTCCGTCGTCGAAGCTGCTTCACGTTGTGCGAAAAGCGTACGCAGAAGATGAGTCTCTTCTGCGGTTGATGGATTGTGCAGCCAGTCCGTGTAATCAAGCTTTGAAAAGCTTGTCGTCTCAATACTGCTCTTCAACCGAACGGTATTCTGTTCGTGATGAACTGCTGTACTATACAGAAGTCAACGGCGACACACCTCGTGTCGTCGTTCCGGCTCACAATGATTTGCGATGCGCATCATGTATGAGTTTCACGATGCCCGAACAAGTGGACATCGCGGTAGGAATCAGACGTACCTCACAAAAAGACGTGACTTCTACTGGCCCCGCCAGTATGAGTTCGTGCGCAAATACATTCGCGCTTGTGAAGTTTGTCAATGGGTGAAGCCTAGCCATTCATCCCGCGCACCCTTACAGCCTCTACCGATTCCGTCAGAGTGTTGGCAGTCCGTATCAATGAACTTCGTCTTCGGGTTTCCCAAAGACGTTCATAAAATTACGGGTGTCTCGTGTTTGTTGATCGGTTCAACAAGATGGTACATCTTGTTGCTGTACTGGAGTCAATTACAGCCCAGGGCTGTGCTCGTGTCTTCATCGATACTATCTTCCGACTTCACGGGTACCCCGCGAGCTCGTGTCTGATAGGTACCCCCGCTTAGCAGCGGAGTTCCGGTAATCCGTGTTCCGTTCACTTGGAACAAGTTTGACGATGTCAACTTCTGACCATCCCGAAACAGATGGTCGGACGGAACGCGTCAACCGCGTTCTCGAAGAGAAAATTTGAGGGTATGTTTACTCGTTTACGAGCTGGAGTGAGTTCTTGCCGATGGCAGAATTCGCCATCAAGAACTCGGTGCACGCGTCGACAACGCATGCACCGTTCTTCGTGTATGGCCAACACCATCCACGTTTACCCGCCTTCTTAGAGTGTGACCCTAGCTTAAAGGGGGGGGACTCGCGTGAACAAGAACCGATTTGATTCTTGCTCATCACCCGTCGACACTGGATTCGACGTGATGGATGCCGTTGTCAATTACATCGACATCGAAGATGACGATGACGACGATGCTGGTATATACAGTATCGCCAATGACCGCCAAAGTGAGGATGATGACGCCCTCACTGGTGAAGACAACGTTCTTTTAGCAGTGCACACGAAGCGAACTGCTGTTAACAGAGATGGAACAGCAGAGAAATTTTTGCTGACTCGCGAAGCGGTTGTCCGCTTCGATCAAGACTCTATTGCAGATGCACTGGACAGAAAGAAGAGAAACGCAGACAGATATGGAAGAACAAATGCTCTTTCATTTAATTGAGGGGATTTAGTTTTACTGTCTACAGTAAACCTACCGAATCATGCAGTGACAAACGTGGGCAGCAGTAAATTACTGCCCACGTACATCGGTACAGTTCGTGTGTTACGCCGAGTGGGTAACGCATACACGATTGAACTGCCCCGTAAGATGCGTACGCATACTAGTGTTACGTTGATCCGCCCGTACTATCAGTACAAGTTTCGATATGCGAAGAACACCTCCACGGTCGAGAGCCGAGACCACCTTCGAGTGGTCTCGTTTCAACGAGCCATTCTGGTCGACTAGCAAAGCGACCTACTCACGCAGCTCAGCGATGTATCGACGAGCAGCAGCCAGCTCATCACGAAGAGAACGATTCGAACGTTTTTTCTCAAGCTGCGCGAACGCAAAAGCGGCACGATCGTCCGAACGATCGTGCGTTAGGGAATTGCAATCATCCCTCACAAGATCCTCAAGCCCATAACGCCGAGAGCGTTCATGAGACAGGTCATCTTGCAACTGTATCGTTAGACGGTTCAGCTCCTGAACATCAAGCTAACCGGACCCTGGAGCCGGATCAGGTGTTCCCACCACCACCACATCCTTTGGTGGACTCAAGAGGTGGTCAACGCTTCCTAGTGAAGCGTATTTTGAACCACCGCGATGTTAATGGCGTCCGGACGAGTTACCTCGTCGGCTATCCACCGGCGTGAGACAGCTGGGAGCATCGTGCCCAGCTGATTGTTGATGTCCTCGGTCTCGTCGAGCAGCACGACGAGACCCACCCTTTGCGTTCTAAGAAGCGCCATCGGAAAACGACCTCCCCGAACGCGAGTACAGGGATTGCAAAGTGTCGATCCCTTCGGCCATGTCGGAAGAGATGCGCGCCCTCCTGTAGGGATCAATAGTGAGGTAGGCCTCCCTAGGGGCACGGTTCGAATTGTCCAGGCAGCCTGGACACGAATTATCCCACAAGAGACAGATAAATTTTGGCTCTTTTGACAGCCGGTGCAACTTGTATCGCGCCCCGACGGGATTTCGTTTCTCAAACCGGATGCGAGCCGTATCAAGTTTGGCGAGCCAAGCCTCACGGCAAATATACTCAATGTTGTGGATTAGGTTATTCCAGCCCTGCACCAAGGCTTTGCCGTCTCGTACACGGCTACCATTGTACCACAGATGTTTAAAGAACACATCGGTGAAGAACTCTTCCTCAGCACGGATAGTTTCCGTGCTGGAATCAGAAGTGCAAATCTTCCTGCAATCGAACAACGGCATTCGGTCCCGATCGGAAGTCATGCCGGCCAACCGGTCAGACTCCTTGGATGATGGAATGTAAGGAGACTTCACTTGAGGAGCGTAGAGCAGGACGTTTCGGTCCCTGGCCTCTTGATTGGTACCAGCATGAGCACTGACACCAGTGACACCTCGATCCCTCGAGTTGCTTCGCTCGTGGTGATGCATAGGTGCATCGCCACCATCTTCACGCGTACTATCGTTGTATGGACTTGCGTGAGGCGGAGACTCATCGGAGTAATCACTCGATCCAAAGATCTCGGTAGTGATGCTGCCGCGCTGACCAGAGCCAGTCAGCCTGGCTTTTGCAGCGTCATCCCCGGGTGATCCCGAGGCGTAAGGAGTCGCCTTCGAGTCGGATACATCAGCCAACTCGCCAAAATAGATGAGATCTATCTCAGACTCGTCTGGATTACGATTTGAGGTACCCGCTGCAGGCGCAACGGATGTACCTGTCGCACGTGGTGACTCACCACGTGGACGATTCACAACAACAGGCGACAGATCGCCTGCTGCTGAGGTGTGAGAGGCACTTTCCGCGGCCGCACGCATGCGTGCAGCCGATCTTCTTGCTTCTGCAGTAGCAGCTCGCGAGGTTTTGGAAACCATTCGTTAGACTGGCAAATGAATAAAATTTGACCAACAAGTGCTACCTTTCCCAGGGTGATCCAACGGTGGCCACTCTGTCCCAATCAATTCTAATTCAATCAACGGGTGATTGATGATTGGGGGGGGTGATGTGTCGGGGTAGCCCGTTACATGCTATTGACACCAAACGGTGTCAATTGGAATATTGTCTAGCATGACAATGTTCTACCAATGTTATCCGAGATGGGTAATATTGAAGGAATATTATCCTCCTTTGATAATGTTCATGCGCTGCTCCAAGATTGGTTGATTTAAGACATATCAACCATGTATCACCACCAATCCCTGCTAGACGCGCGCAACGAGTGGTGAGCAGGTTGCCGTCATTCTACGACGTAGTTTAATATAGTTAGATAAAGACTGAAGTTATATTGATAGCTTTATTAAATGCGGTTCTCTTTTTACCTTACTTGATCGAGTCGTTCAAGTAGATAGCTTCCTCTGCACGTACTAGTGTACGTAAAGTTCCGCGGCACCCCAAACAAAGGGTGCCGCGTTACAAAGCTGCAATAAGGTTGACAAGATTTGTCTTTAAGCAACAAACAAGGATTAATTAAGGTGTTCACGCTTAAAAGAAAATAAAATGGAATGTATAATCATTTAGCGAGGTACTATGTTCGTCTTTTTGTACTACCCTAAGTCCAGCGATGACGACTCTACAATAGTCGAACCCATTGCTACACATGTACTCGTGCAGTGTCGTCCGTGCCATGTACTCATTAGTATTACCGATAAACCTGGCCAATCTGGTTTCTAATGAACATAATATATAGCTATGTATGATAAGGATAAGATCCACCGATTCCGTTTCTACATAAATTTATAGGGTAAACTTGTCAAGTGGATAATTCGATGGTTGATGAACAATTTCGTCCAAATTTGATAATAGTGGTCCAGAATTTGGTTCACTGGCGTGGGCACAACCGCTACACGGAAGTTGTAACGGGGTGAATCGTTACATAACAATTTATAAGAAATTGTTAATAGAATATAACTATAAGAGTTATATTCTCAGAATATTGTCATAAGGACAATATTCTGTAGCACTTCCAAGTAGTTCCTAATTGGTTGATATAGGCCATTATATCAACCAACGAAGACGCGCCACGACAGACGCACGCAATGAGTGGTGAGCAGATAACTGATTTACACATTTGTATTTAGACATAGTTAGATGAAGATAAATAGTGATTTATTGCAGACATTAACTATTATTAATACAGTTCTACTTTTTACTCTAACCAAGTACTCGCTTCTTCTTACCGTCTTCCTCTGCACGTACGAGTGTACGTGAAGTTACGAGGCACCGCCTTATTCTGTTATCAGAATAAGTAGCTTGTACTGTCACCAGTACAAGCTTCAGGGTGCCCCGCTACACCTGGTAGCACTTCGTAGTCCGTCCAAGGACCACGTTCACATTCAACATGAATATGTTGGATGATGAAGATGACCAAAGCTTTCACGCTACGCGTGACGGCTACTCCCATTTGAGCGATGTCGAATGGGATGCGGTTGAACGAATGGGTTCGACCATGGGCATATATGCTATTAGCGTCATGCTAGAGGCTCTCAATAGAGATGCCCATCATGCCACTATCGCCAAGTTCATTCAAAATGAACTTGACGCTGAACGCGAGAAAGTAGCCTTGCTTCACCAACAAGGTTCTCAACAAGCAGAGTTGTTGAGAGAACAAGGTGCTCAACAGTTTGAACTGTTGAGACAGCAGCAGGCTGCTGCTGGCGGGTCGATGCACTCGCGTCGGCCCGAGACTTTGAAGATTGACATCTCAAAGTATAGGGGGGTCGAAGAAGACTCCCTCTTGAGATGGTTCGTCGAATTGGATGACGCCATAAGGGCGCGTCGCATCGACGACGGGGATATGCAAGTTGCATTTGCCCAGTCAAATCTGGCAGGACGTGCCAAGACTTGGGCACTGGGGCTCAAGCTGCACGACCCATACGCGTTTGGGTCGTTGGAAGTCTTCAAGTCGCGGCTCAGACAAACGTTTGAACCGCCTAGAGCTGAGTTCAGAGCTCGAACCGAACTATTGAAGCTCAAGCAGGGTAAGCGTGATGTGCACGCTTACGCTCAACATATACGACATCTCACGAGTTGTATAAGTTCCAATCCGGTGGATGAACACACGTTGGTTTCGGTGTTCATGCAGGGTCTTGCGGATGGTCCCGTCAAGACTCACCTGTTCCGGCTTGAACTAGATTCACTAGAACAAGCCATTTCCATTGCGGAGCAGGAAGACTTCAGTCTGAGACAGGCTCGCGCCAGCTCGACATCATATCGTCAACCGAGACGATATGACAACGGACGTCCAGAGCCGATGGAACTCTGTTATGTAGAGAGCGAGAAGGCTCGCTCTACAGGCTACAAGAAGTTGCAGAGATGCAACAGATGTCAAAAGACAGGACACTACGCTTACGAGTGTAGTGCCCCTCGTCCAGTGTCTCGCGACACTGGGCGTAGTGACCGTCCACCCATGAGAAAGGGGCAGGGACGAGGGTCCGCAGTTGGTGCAAAGACGCAACAACGGGATGGACCGTCAAAAAACGGACAGGATCAGTAGGTGCGGAGCACCCTACTGATCCAGCAACGTCAAGAGAATTTGTAGGCCTCTTGATGAAGGTTGCTCCCAACACACAGACATTGTGCGTTGCTGCTCTAGGTAATGAGATCTCACTCATTACCTTGAAACTCGAAGTGACGAATAAGTTGTCCCTTCGAGCTCTAGTCGATTGTGGGGCGTCCAACAATTTTGTGCGACGCCAATCGCTAGAAGATGGTCACTTTAAATTCAGTGAATGTGACACACCTCCTACGAGGATGACGGTACGTCTTGCGACAGGCGCATCCGTAACCGTCATGAAGCGTATAGTGAAGATTCACTATGCGCTAGAAGATACCCAATACGACGATGACTTTATCGTATTGGATTTGGATGACAAATTTGATGTCATCCTTGGAATACCGTGGCTCAGAAGGTACGAACCACGGGTAAACTGGCAACATCGGACAGTAACGATGCCTGCCGCTTGTTCATCAGATGGCCATCTGATGAACGTTTTGGAGCGTCCACAAGCGTGTGGATGTACTACGAGTGAGTGCGATGGCCTCACTTGTGGTACGGTCGTTAGTACGACTGCACAAAACCTTAGTGTACCAAACGGTTACACTTCGGAGCCAAGTTCCGGCGGCTGTGAGGGAAACACAGGCTGCGCCGAAGGTCCACCACTCGAATAAGTCGGGTGGACTGGGACAAAGATGTATCCCTAGAGGGGAACATCTAGAAGAGAAACAATCGATCGCTCAGGTTAAGCGAAACGATAATCCTAGATCGACTGGAGAGTCTTTCGTAGAGGATCTCGCTGTGGTTGCGCAACCCCAGCTAGAGGAAGTAAAGGGAATAAGTCCCAAGATTACAAATACGGCGGAAATAAGTTCCCCGAAACCCGCGGGAATAAGTCCCCGGGAAGACGAAGGAATAAGTCCTTCGAAGCCTGAGGGAATAAGTCCCCAGGAAATGACAGAGACATTGAATGTCATAGTCAATAACGGATCATGTGTAGGCGCTTATACACTTGATCTGATTGCGCCTCCGAAGTTAACTTCGGAGATCACTCAGTTGCCAACGCTCGAACATAAAAGGTTCTTGCGTGATCTGCGTAGTGGCAAAGTCAAGCAGATCTGCATACTCGTCGCTGACGACGAGTATGTAACCGACATAAGGTCAGCAACAGTGTTTACTGAGAACGAGAGAGTTCTCAGTAGTTCATCTATGGACGAGAGTGTCCTAGATGAAAAGACACGAATTGAGCGATATGAGTCCCAATCATGGGAATCGCTCAAGGAAAATCCTCTCTATGAAGATTTGGTTGAATTCAAGGATGTATTCCCTGAAACTGTTCCGTGCGAATTACCGAAGGATAAAGGTATTCGACACGAAGTCGAGCTTAAACCAGGCTCGAAGTACTGTGTCATGAAGCAGTGGCCACTGCCTCGTGAACAAGTACTTGCGATCGACAAGTTCTTTGCCGATCGTTTAGCAGCGGGCCATGTGAGGGAATCAACTTCCCCACATAGCTCTCCGACCTTCTGTGTGCGAAAAGCAACAGGAGGGTGGCGGATAGTGCACGCGTTTAACAAATTGAACGCTGCAACGGTACCGGCTCAGACGCCGATACCGAGGAAGGACGTAATCATTGATGGTATGTCAAAGAGTACCATCTTTTCGTCCATGGATTTGATGGATGGCTTCTATCAAATCCTAATGCGGGAACGGGATATACCCTATACCGCAGTTAGCACGCCTAGCGGCATGCTCTGGGAATGGCTAGTAATGCCACAAGGGCTCAGTAATGCCCCTGCCACGTTCAACAGATGTGTATCACATCTGTTGAGACCAGTACGAGAATTCGCGCCGAGTTATTTCGATGACGTATTCATCCATAGTCGAGCTATGGATGGAAAGTCGGACGTTGAGGTTCACAAGTACCACGTCCGACAAGTTCTTACAATCATGCGAAAGCATCAATTGTATGCAAACCTCAAGAAGTGTATATTTGCAGCAAGCGAAATACCACTTCTTGGGTGCATCGTTGGTAAGAACGGTGTACGTCCTGATCCCGAAAAGATCAAGGCGATCACCGACTGGCCCGTGCCGGTCGATGTCAAAGGTCTTCGAAAATTCCTTGGGCTAGCGGCGTATTTGCATAAGTATTCACGCAATTACGCCGAGATGACTGTACACCTCTCTCGTTTGTTGAAAAAGAACGAGAGGTGGTTATGGAACGCTGAATGTCAACGCTCCTTTGAGGGTATCAAGCAGAGCTTGATACAATTCCCAGTCCTAGCAATAGCCGATCAGGACAGGCAATTTCATGTGGTCTGTGAT